CCCTCTGAGCTTCTGTGACCTCTGACCTTTATCATGGCATCCACATCTATCACCACCATCGGTGGAGTGATGGTCGTGACTCAGGTCATTCCCAAGGATGACGGCTCCATCCAGCTCCAGAATGCCAGCAGCACCACTGCACAGGCCCCTCCCCCTGTCAAAAAGACCACACCCATCCCAGTCAAGATGGACGACATGACCATCGCCTTCATGCGGGGACAGCCGCACGCTCTCGGGGTGAGCGTCTGGACTCTGACCATCATGTTCATCACAACAAAGCACAGACACAAACACGTCATGATGATGTCATCACCTCTGACCAACCAGAATAAACTTTGCTGACAGTCTTCATGTGTTTAGCTGTTCTTCAGTTTCAGAGTAAAGCAGGAGGCTCACTGAGTCATGTGATCAGAGTGGCTTTGGCTTTATTTAACTTTAAATCGTTAAAGGTAGGTTGAGCTAAAGGACGACGCACATGGATCAGATTTTATTGTAATAAAGGTTTAATGAAGCTGCCAGACGGCGTTGTGACCTTTGACCCCACAGCTGCTCTCAGCCTGCACACATCTCATCTTTGATGCTGTTCTTCAGTTTGATGATGTTTTAACAAGAACTTTAAAATCTGCATTACTCTTCATCTTTGCTCATGTTGTGTCTCCGTCTGTGTCCTCAGGTCGTTCAGATCATGATCGGGCTGCTGTGCATCCTGTTCGCTCTGACCGCCATCTCCTCGTGGGCCATGATCGCCTACTCTCCGTTCGCCCTCGGCGCCGCTGTACGTACACACAAACATGATTAATAACCCTCAGGTAAAGCCTCACAGGGGTCATGTGTCGTCTAACCACGCCTCTCCGCTGTCGTGCAGTTTGTCGTCTCTGGCTCGGTGGCCGTGGCGGCAGGGAGACGCACTTCCATCTCACTGGTGAGTTTTAGAGAAAGCAGAAAGAGGATGTGTGAGTGACAGGTCAGCAAACTCAGACCTGCTGATTACAGCTGAAGGACAAACTAATGAAATAAAGCTGCAGCTCGTCCTTCTTGGACAGTCTGTTAGTGCCGTGACCTCACAGCAGCCATATTGTTGGTCAGATGATGTCATTAGAAATGGTCCATTTCAGGGGCGGTTCGCTGCAGCGGTGTGATACCTCAGTCACAGACTGTATATCAAAGATGGATGAAGCCATTGTACTTCGTTAGCCGCTGTTAGTTTAGCCGTATCTGCTGTTTGTGCAGGTTTGGGGGTCCCTGGTGTCCAACGTGATAAGCGTCCTGATTGGCCTGGCCGGTGTGGCCTACACCTGCTGGCTGCTGGCCGAATGCCCCCCCTCCGATCGCTTCTGTGACCGACAGAGCTTCATCGAGTTCAAGGACGTAGACGGCCTGAGGAGCAAATGCAGCCAATATTTTTATTTGCTGGATGTAAGTTTATCTCTGTCTGGTCTTCAAGGCCGGACTCTCGCTGCACCTCAGATCTGGTCCCGGGGTCTTCCCTGACGACAGGTTGTGTGTATTTCCTGTTTATATTTCCTGTTTCAGGTGGTTCTTTACGGGCTGCTCGGCCTCTTCCTGGTTCTCCTCGTCCTGCAGACCTGCGTCACCATCGTCGTCTGTGTTTTCTCTGGCAAAGCCATCAGGCTCCGCACTCCTTCTTCTCTCAGCGTAAGACTCCTCCTACCAATAATATTTACTCCGCCTCTCAAGAAATGCTGATGTGTTCAGTCGCAAGAGGAAAAAAAGAAAATTAGCAAAATAATGATAAGACCTGCTGAAATACATTTTTAATATCAGCTTTTCTTGCATAAAAAGATTTGACGAATCAGAAAAATATTTTCAGCTTTTGTAAACTGGGATTTATTATTTATTATAATTTATTTCCTCCTGCTTTAAATATATTTTTTCTCATCCTGTCTTCCTTCTCTCACCCCAACCAATCACAGCAGATGGCCCCACCCCTCCCTGAGCCTGGTTCTGCTGGAGGTTTCTTCCTGTTAAAAGGGAGTTTTTCCTTCCCACTGTCGCCAAAGTGCTGCTCATAGGGGGTCATATGATTGTTGGGTTTTTCTCTGTATCTATGAAGCGCCTTGAGGTGACTTTTGTTGTGATTTGGCGCTATATAAATAAAATTGAATTGAATTATCAGATAGCCAGAGATAAAACTGAAGTGCAGAGCGCTTTCACCACCCAGAAAACTTTATACAGATTACTGACACGCTGACGTGCTGGACTGTCAGGAAATGATTTGTATATAGAATAAGTTTCACTTTGGTCCTTTCAGCTCTCAAACAGACCCGACTTTTATGTCGTGTGTCCGAGCCTGAAGGCATCGCCGCAGGTTCATTTCCTAAAATGAAATTCAAGTTGAAAGATTGCTATTTTGGTGTAGTAGAAGGAATCGCGTGCACATCACAAACGCTGATGTGCACGCGGTCAGAACGCGAAATTCAGCAAGTGATTAAAAAATATCAAGAGCATCAAAATTGATCTCATGGTGCACGAGAAGACGAGTCTGAAGGGCCGATGTTAGTGGTGCAACGGATCACGGTTGATTTAAGCAGCCCGGGCTAAAGCTGTTACTAAAGCTATCGGGGTGTTTAGCTGCAGACGGAGGCCGTATTCTGTTGTGCAAAACAAGGGTTTAAACTAGTCAACGCGTTAGTTAACGCATTGACGCCGTGCAGCCCCATGCACGGGGCGATCCGCGGTTACTAGTTAATGGAGATTTGCCGCATTAATGCAGTTATGGCATTAACGTCATTTTAACTAGATTTACGCTGACAGCACCAGTTTAAACTGTGACGAACGTGCTTGAGCCACGCTATGATTTCCCGTCGCGCGTCCGCTTCAGTGACAAGATCCTTCCAAGCATGTATGAGCAGGAAAGGTTTAAAGTTATGGCTGAGCTGTCCCAGGCATCTTCTGTTGCCCTAACTACAAATGGGTGGAGCTCCAGGGCAACGTGACCGCTCATTATATCACAGAGTGGTAGATACATAGCCCTGCACTGCCCTATGTTGCATCTTCATTTGTTTTTATATAATTGTGTGGAATGAGTCTTGAGTTGAATGTTTTTTAATAGGCAAAATATACTTAAATAAGTAAATGGCGAGTTAAATTTTTGTCTTCTTTTTTTTTCTTCTGCTGATCCGAAAATTGATCCGATCCGTGACGGAAAAAAAAAGCGTGATCCAATCTGAACCGTGAGACTTTTGATCCGTTGCACCACCAGCCGACAAATTTAAATGTTTCGATTTGATGTCTGATCACCAAAAATGTGTAACCACGCCTCCTGCAGTGACGGAGGAACGGTCCATTATTCACACCTCATTATTCAGCTTATGAACTCATTGAATCCCTTTAACTGAAAACGATCTGTGATTGTTTAATGAGGCTTTTGCAGGTTTAAGAGAGAGAAATAAAATCATGAAAACATAAAATATCAAAAATTATAGTCAAACATTTACAAGGAAAAAAAGCATTTTAAATGTTTGTTTTTGAGAACATTTCCAGAACAGCCGATGTTGATGTCGTCTGACCTTTGACCCGCAGGTGGAGTCTGACGATCGCAGAGGTCTGCTGCCGCCCGGCTCACCCTGAGAGGAGGAATCATCTGAGAGCACTTCAGATACTGCAGGAGTCTGACTCTGTCTGTCTTTGGCAGGGTGTCACTGGCAACTGTTGCACAGCATTCTGGGTAATTTAGGGGGAAATCTGCCATGTTAGTGTAATCAAACCGTAATCATCATTATTACTGACGGTCATTTCAAATCACACTCTTGTATTGTAACGTTAACGCTACAATAAATTGTTTTCCAACAGAGCTGCATTATAATTGCACTTTTTAAAGGGAGGCTGGAAACCCAAAGTCATGTCTGCAGATGCATCTGACGTTTTTGACTGGCCTCATGTGAGGCAGCTGAGCCTCCACAGCCTCCCAGTCTCTCATTTCTCTGCATCATCTAAGAATTAAACACCTGTCACTTACAGTATTTGTACTGAATACATTTTCTGTCTTTCAAACTACAAAAAACCTTCAGAATGTCAGTAAAAGGATTAATTGTCACACACAGTCAAACTTCAATGGATGCATCGGGGAGCAACTTGGGGTTAGTATCTTGCCCAAGGATACATGGCCAAGGATACCTGGAGGTATCGAACCTCCAACCTTCCGATCAGTAGGTGACCAGCTCGACCTCCTGAGTTAAAGCCACCCCGAAAAAAATGCTCTCAATAAAAAAGTTTCCCCGATATACCTTTTCCATTTTCTGACAAAAGTTTCATTGACAGGATTTCATAAACAACAAAGGTATACTCGTAGTGTGTTAAAAGCCAGGGCATAAAAATGTGTCTTTAGCAGTGATTTAAAGTGATCACGTGTTTGTGCCGATCTAATATTTCGGGGGAGACTATTCCAAAGTCTGGGACCTGCCACAGAAGTCTCTATCGCATTTGAGATTAGTCCGTGGGATGGACAGCATTAATTACACCTCAGGGTTTTTCCTGGAACAGAAACAGAAAGGAGCTCAGGCAGGTAGGAAGGGGCTCGGGCGTTAAGCAACTTAAAAACAAAAAGTCTAAGTGTAAATTGGATCCTGTAGGAGACGAGAAGCCAGTGTAGAGAAGCTAAAACTGGAGTTATACGTAGGGCTCACAGGTATCTGTAGGTATCATCACTGATTTCTAGAATCGATTCGATTCGATTCGAAAACCCTCCCCTAGTTATATGCTCTCTGTTTGGTACCAGTTAGCAGGCGAGCAGCTGCTAACTATTATAATTTATTTAATCTGGCGCACACAACATTTTACTTCAATTACAAAAAAATCCCCAAAACATTAAGTTTCTGTATAATACCATGATGGGGGAAGTTAATGGTTCAGGATTTTTCCATAAACAATAAAAAATACGAAGATTGAATCAGTTCGACCAAAACGAAGAAGAAAAGCTTTTATTTTGAAGTATGGAAGCGGAAGTTGGATCCGGCTGAAATGACCCGCAGGAGTTAGCGAGCGCCTTCTTCTCTTTTTCAGTAGGTTTCTGCTTCTTCTGCTGTGTTTCTGAGCGAGTCTGTGTATCGGGGTTAACCCGTAATCCCTTCACTAACACATGTACAGGTTAATGTGTAGGAAGTTGTTTTTTCCAGAGCGTTTTACTTCCGCTAAACGAGGGTGTTAGCTAAAGTTAGTTAGCTTTGTGGACAGTTGACGTTTGAGCCCAAAGTCCCAGCTGTTGACAGCTGTTCTGCTAACAGGCGGTCTGTGTTTGTCTGGTTTCAACAGCTGGACTCTGCACTAAAGTTATGAAAACGAGCTGCTTAATGAACACTTGGTTGTTTGAATGAATATAATCAATAATATAATGTGTTTTCTTCTGAAATGGCTCATGTCTGCTTTTTCCCAGCGCTGTTTTTACTTTTATACGTCCTTTAATAACGAATGTAAAACTGACTGAAGTTAAACATGTCTCATTCAAGAGAGACCAGGCCAAGAGGGCCGCACAAATGACAACAAATATAACATTAACCGTTTTAATAAAGGTGTTTGAGTGGCTAAAAAAGACCGGATCTACAGTAAATCAGAATCATGACCTACAAAACAAGTAATATCTTTATTTTATATAAAACACTCTCAGAAGTTATCAATATCAGATATTTAAAATACACTAAAAACACACAGAACCATCACAAATCACTTCTTAGAACAACACCGCGATCTTACTGCCCCTTTAAATATTTCTCTTTCTCCCTTTTCACACTTGTGCTGAGTGTGAATCATTCCAGCATTTCTAGGCCATGGCATAGAGAAGCAATGTTGCTGTGCTGTGTAATAGTTTGGAAACATAACACCGATCCAACACCTCGAGGTCCTGTAGAAGGTTCCTGCAGGATCACCGAGGCTTTCAGGATCTGTAGATCTTCACAGTCTGATGCTTTCGTGTTTTGATGATTTACTTTTGCCACTACATTAAAAAAGTAAAAGGAGTCCTGAATATGTTCTGACCAGCCACGTCTCCCACATAGTGATATGATCCTTCCAGTTTAATTAAAATGCACTTTCTCCAGTGAAAGATCAGCAGATCAAATATCCTGGGGATCGGTGCAGTTAGTTATTGATGCGTCCATCAGGATACGGATGCTTAACTGAGTCACAGAAAAAATAATGAACCAAAAACAGTTTTAGCGGAGCTGTAATGTGTTTTTGTGTGGATACATTCTGCACTGATGATATTATAAGAAATCAAAAATGCTGAAAACTTAATGAATTTAAAAAACTCAAAATTTCATCCCATTTTATGCACTTCGTATTCTAGTATTTGGAGTATAGATGTGAAATTGAGCAAAGATCAGCTGATTGTGAGGCGTCAGGTGGGACAAACATGTTAATGTGTTTAGATTTATTACATGTTTACGGTCATTTTAGCTTAAACTCTGTGTTATGTGTTAAAATCAGTGATGGGATTAACGGCGTTACTTGTAACGGAGTTACTTTTTCAGTAACGAGTAATCTAACTAATTACTATTCCTATCGTTACAACGCTGTTACCGTTACTAACACGAAAATGCCGTCCGTTACTATTTTTCAACAAACAGACGGTTGAAGCTGTGTTCAGCTTACAGCATCTTATATCAGCTGCAGGAAGTAGCTGAAGTAATCTGGGCGCTACAGCTTTAAGCAGCTGCGCTCCCGCGGACGGTGATCACGATCGCATGAGTGCTGCTGTTTGACTGAGGAAGAGTAAAGACAATCACATGACCACTTAAAGACAAAGCAACAAGGTGATATATACCAGTTTATAAACTGTGTTGATAGGCCAGTAAAACCAGAGTCATGATAAACAAGATATACGCAGCGTTTGTTCCTGAATAGTTTCGTCACGTTTACTGTCTAAGCGCAGCGAGCGCTCTCTGCTTATGAGCAAAAAACAAAACCAGCTCGTTTGTGTTGGTGGAAAAAATGCACCATGTGGACCAATCAAAAAATGATATGACAACATGACATTTGGTTGTTTAGGAAGAGGCGGAAGTTTTAGGAGTGACGTGTTGTCTTGTGTAGTTAGTGTTGTGGATAGTTTTGTGTTGTGTGTCAGAACAATGAGG